AGTATACATCAGATCTAGTATACATCAGATCCAGTATACATCAAATCTAGATCAGATATTGTATACATCAGATCTAGTATACATCAGATCCAGTATACCTCAGATCTAGTATACATCAGATTTAGTATAAATCAGATCTAGTATACGTCAGATCCAGTATACATCAGATTTAGTATAAATCAGATCTAGTATACGTCAGATCCAGTATACATCAGATATAGTATACATCAGATCTAGTATAAATCATATCTAGTATACATCAGATCTAGTATACACCAGATCCAGTATACATCAGATATAGTATACATCAGATCTAGTATAAATCAGATCTAGTATACGTCAGATCCAGTATACATCAGATCTAGTATCCATCAGATCCAGTATACATCAGTATACATCAGATCCAGTATCCATCACATCTAGTATACATCAGATCCATTATACATCAGATCTAGTATACACCAGATCCAGTATACATCAAATCTAGATCAGATCCAGTATACATCAGTTCAAGTTCAGATCCAGTATACATCAGATATAGTATACATCAGATCTAGTATCCATCAGATCCAGTATACATCAAATCTAGTATACATTAGATCCAGTATACATCAGATCTAGATCAGATCCAGTATACATCAGCATTAGTATAAATCAGATCTAGTATACACCAGATCCAGTATACATCAGATATAGTATACATCAGATCTAGTATAAATCAGATCTAGTATACACCAGATCCAGTATACATCAGATGCAGTATACATCAGATCTAGTATAAATCAGATCTAGTATACACCAGATCCAGTATACATCAGATGCAGTATACATCAGATCTAGTATACACCAGATCCAGTATACATCAGATCCATTATGCATAGTATACATCAGATCTAGTATCCATCAGATCCAGTATACATCAGATTTAGTATACATCAAATCTAGATCAGACATAGTATACATCAGATCTAGTATCCATCAGATCCAGTATACATCACTAGTATACATCAGATCCAGTGTACATCAGATCCAGTATACATCAGATATAGTATACATCAGATCTAGTATAAATCAGATCTAGTATACACCAGATCCAGTATACATCAAATCTAGATCAGACATAGTATACATCAGATCTAGTATAAATCAGATCTAGTATACACCAGATCCAGTATACATCAAATCTAGATCAGACATAGTATACATCAGATCTAGTATACAGCAGATCCGGTATACGTCAGGTCCAGTATACATCAGATCCAGTATCCATCACATCTAGTATACATCAGATCCAATATACATCAGATCTAGATCAGATCTAGTATACATCAGATCTAATATACATCAGATCCAGTATACATTAGATCTAGTATAAATCAGATCTAGTATACGTCAGATCCAGTATACATCAGAGCTAGTATACATCAGATCTAGTATACATCACATCCAGTATACATCAGATCCACTATACATCAGATCTAGTATACAGCAGATCCGGTATACGTCAGGTCCAGTATACATCAGATCCAGTATCCATCACATCTAGTATACATCAGATCCAATATACATCATATCCATTATGCATCAGATCTAGTATACATCAGATCTAGTATAAATCAGATCTAGTATACATCAGATCCAGTATACATCAGATCCAATATACATCAGATCCATTATGCATCAGATCTAGTATACATCAAATCTAGATCAGATATAGTATACATCAGATCTAGTATATATCAGTATCAAGTTATTTCGCCTGTAGTGATACATATTAAATGCACTAGATAGCATTCCAGGAAGATATCGTCAAACACTGCCTCTTTATATTGTCAGATTATATATAAAACAAATATACATAATGTTGAAGATGAAAGCAACCGTGTCATGTTCCTTGTACGTGAGGTGAACTTGTCACACGTTTTGACAGGTTTAATGGTGGATGTTCTCTGAACAGAAACATTGTCATATAAATCACTCACTGTTGGGCGAATAGCACAGTACTTTTCTTCGTATTAAATCATTGCTTTTTTTAGTAATTGTATTTAATAAAGAACAGATCTATTTCTGCGTGAAAATGTTGTTTATTTGGTTAATAATGCAGAGGAGATCATTGTTTTGTCATGATTGCATGCTAATACATGTTCGGGACTTCATCATATTTTTTAAAAACGGGCAAACCAAAATATGCTTTACTCAAGACAACTGCTTTAAAAAAGTATTTATGTACGGGAAAATCTTTCATTTGTCATACATGCATGATAATACATGTTTAAGACAGGTTCATATTCTTATGAAATGTGACAGATCTAGATAAAATTTGCTTCTGTCAATCAAGTCATACAATGCAATCGTTTTTAATGTTTTATTATGAAGCCAAATATTATATATATGTATTACTGAATGTGACTGTAGTTTTGATGTTGGTAATTCATTTTGATTGATTGATTCCGAATTCTATATGGGTTAATTTTAATTTTTTATTGATTTTATACTTATTTATCTTAAAAATCGTATTACTCATGAAACTAAAGATCGCGTTAACAGAAATTACTGTATAAAGTAAAATCTCACACTTAACGAAATGAACGTAAATCATATAAAGAAAAGGGAGTTAATGGACAAAAGAAAGCGTTTGACATTTACGTTTTCAAAATATTATTTATCCATGTGCGGCGTAGTAACAGTACAGTTTTGTATGTAGTAATTATTAAGACATGAGAGTAATTCAGTAAACGTTTATATTTAAATCACTTTTCTGTCTACATTTATATTGATTTTGACCTTCCACAGGTTTCCAGTTTTCAGTGTCACGGTGTGCACTGTTAATATTTGTGTACAAGTCCAACCTCTCAGTGCCATGCATGTTCTGACTGTTGGAGTTCCTGACGAAAATGCATCATGGTTGAAGTGTGTCTCCAAATGTTTAGGCTGTCGGTAACTCACGATGAATATTTTATTTTTCATAAATTTGTTCTTCAGTTTCGGTCTGTTCAAAGTGTTCATCTTTTGCTTTATTTTGTCTTTGTATTGGGGATCAATTGGATTGTGTGTCATTACAAGTGGCAAGATAATCTCGTGTCCTTTCCCGTAATCAACCTTAGTGGGAGATATTTGAAACCACAGCTTTATAACAATAATGGTAAAAATGTACAGGAGATTCCTTGACAATTGTTTCTTAATTTGGAAACACATCCGAAAATGGCTCCAACATCTTTTCACCATACTCAAATAAACTCCCCCCTAAAACTTATCATGTTAAAAGGTTAAATTAAACTACCGACTTACTGTCCTATAGAAACAATGCAAATCTCTGTAGCTATATTTACAACAAATTCATTTATACCTACCACTATTAGAACTTACATTCCGTTCCGTTAAATTATAATAAGGAAAATAACCCTTTCTGTTTAGAACGTCAGATTTTTATGATAATAGAACATGACGCTCTACGAAAAAGACTAATTATGAACTGGAACGGCTTTTGGTGGAACAGCATGACCTTCAAACTCTCATAAAAAGCCATTAAATTCTTACTACAGAGCTCCAATCAGCAAAGCAGAAAGTATACGCGAAGATCTCCTTTTCGAAATGACACATAAACCAAACAATGTCCAAGTCAACGGAAGGTGAAACATTTTAAATGGCTCGAAACTGAAGGTTTCTTTTAATTCATACATCATACCTATGTCATAAAAATTAGGCAATATGCCCCTTTAATTACTACATGAATTACGTCATCAGTAGATCAACATATAATGACTTAACACAATATTGTTCTGTTACTATGCATCTAAGGATTTAATACAGAGAACATATTCGTGCAATAGTTTACACGTTGTTTTCTTAAATAACTAGTTCTTTAATATATGATTGAAATATATGGGGGAAAAAATATTCAACTATTCATATGACTCAATTTTTAAGTTTTGTAATCATTATGCAGCTTACGTCATTCAATCATGCATTTTACATAATTGTTTTGATACCAAAAAATATTTTGACTGATGATTGTGTAACGTTTAATTTACATAGACAATAATATGCTCCTATGCACGTTCGCAATGACAATAATCAATATTGTGTAATACATTTTCATTAATTAAAGTGAAATGCCTGTCAATCCTATCAAAACTGTAGAAATCTATTTCGTACTTGGTACTGTATTATGAGGATACAGATATAGTGTCGTGTAACACTTAAGTGCCAGTTTGGTAACGGATTGGCCAATTCAATACACCTAGCAGATACCGTCCGATTTGTGAGGGTGATACATCACAGCGTTTAATCACAGTGATGTGGCATACAATGTTAAACATCACATCATAATTCATTATCGAGTTATTTTTTTCTATAATGACCAGGCTTGTCTTGATCACAGGAGTGCGGACCTATTGACGGTACTAGTAGTTTGTCCATACTGTTCTTTATTAATGTTTACTCTTGTCTTTCTGTATGTTTTGTTCGTTATTGTTTAAAATTTGCATTAACTTTAATTTAAAAACAAAAAAGTTATTAAAGTTTTCAGACAGAAATCTGTTTACGATACACTGCCTCAGACGATCATCTGAATATATTTAAGATGCAATAGCAACAATAAAAGTCGAATAGTTAATTGCTTCGTGTACAATTTCAATATTAACCAGACACAATTCTATTTTATAAGCAAAAACACAGAAAGGCGTTTTTTTCTACAATTCGTTAAACTTCACATTTTGCAATACATTATGCAAAGTATTATATCCAATACTGAGATATGTACAGCATCACAGTTACAGTGCAAATGTTAAGACGTTATTGTTCCATATCCTATAAAATGAATTACTTTTCCCCGACCTCTTACACAGAGTTATAGGATTCACGCCGGCCACAAAAGAAATGAAAAAGATGTTTATAATATTTGTTTCTTGAATTAAAATCAACTCGTTATTTTCTTTAAACAATATATTATCTTTTAATTCAACAAACAATGGTTCTCTCGCAATCACATTGAAATTAACGCAGAATATATTCGTTAATTCAGAATACCCATAGTATACAAAGTGACCAAGAATCAAAATTATTCACCATTAGTAATCAAAATTTTATTTTCGTAATGAGATTGCGTTTTTCAGGGTTCATATGCATCCAATAATAAAGACTGATTATTCCATTGAAGTGCCATGCCATACCTGATTGTGCTCTTTGAAGTCACACCTAAAGTACATGAGTCATTCAAAAGACATAGGCGTATCTTTCACAATCATGTACATATAGAGGTGGGAGAAATAATTTATTAAGACAATGAAACCGATTTAACGACCATATACATTACCCAAAATACACATGTCCTCTTACTTTACGTTTTAACTGAATGACAGCTGTAACAGCTTCAGATAATCCTGTTCAGCTTATTTCGGATCTGGAGTGAATGTCAAAAATAGTCTCCATATTTAAGTGTAAGCACGGCAAGGTAAATATCAGTCCCTACCTGTTAACGATGTGATTTGAATTACACCTGTCCGGTTATCATGTCTGCCCACCTTACCTGTGATTATCTGTTTGATGTATGGCGTGACATTTAAAACAACTGTAGGTGGACAACATTATACCACACATCAATGATTGTGAAGTTAATATCTGGAAGGTGATTGTTACAGTGTAATTATTTACAGTCACGTGATCATCATTTTAATTTCAATTTTTCAATTCGATGGAACATGATTGTAAAATACACGTCACCTAGGCATTGTTGCCTTTTAGGTAATCCTAAACCTATCATGGAGGGTGTCACATGTAGTGGAGGTATTGTCCACCGGAACGCATGTTTCATAATTAATTTTTAGTACGTCTTTACTTTAGTTTTTAGTGTCTTTTTAACACCGTGTAGATATTTAAGCCACATTCTCAGACAATACACTCAAAACATATAGTAAAGCACAAATATAATAAATTAAAGGTACATTGATATCAAGTAATGAGAAAAGTTCATCGACGTGTGTTAAAATATTTTATGAGCATTGATTTTCTGTACATATTATAAAAACAATCATTAACATTAACCTAGAAATACTGTGAATGTTAACCAGAATGAAGAAAGGTTGGTTTAAGAACACTTAAATCTTATAACAAAGGTCAGATTGAAACAAAAACTCAGCTTATGAAAGAATAGAAGGAATAGAAGATAAGGTCTGGCTTCTATTTTTGAAACGGTACCACTCACATAAAATTGTCTGATTGAACAAACGTAAGCACTAGAAACAACTACAGAATGAAGTGACTCATTAGATAAATCAAACAAATATCGGATAACAAAACTGTAAAATCGTCTGAAAATATTTGACTGATCACTGTGGAAAGGAATTTGTCTGCACAACATTTCACCGGTAGCCAAGTACAGTACCAATTGAAATAATTATGTTTCCTCGAGCTTAGGCTACTTTCCAGTCTCCAGTTCCAACCAAATACAATCTATGCAGATACATCAAATAAGACTGATGCTTTATTTTTTTCTACCTCCACGATTGAGTTTTGAGATTAAGATACTACAGTCATATGTCTAAATTAAACAGCTCTCAAAATGTATAAACGGGTCTGCACAGGGAAATACTAGTACAATGTAATCATTCTTATCAAAATCGTTCTAAAATCACAACAGATATGTGCGTGCTTTATAGGAAGCATCGCCATTTTAAATCTCAATGTTTTGTAACGACCAGCTGGTACATTTTGTGGTGTTCCTCTACGCAGAATTTGAGTGGGTGTGCACATGTCGTTGACATATCGTGCTTCAAAAATGTTCAATGCGATACAGTGGATTTAGTCGACATGTACATGTTCTTATTGGGGGAGCTGTACGATGGCGTAACAAACACTTTACCACATATAATTCGCTAGTTTTGTCGTGCGAATAATTTCCTTCTCGCCAATAGGAGAATAGACAGTGAACCGAAAAACAACGAGTCAGTCCATAACTATCGTTCTAATGCTAGGTTTGTTTCGTAACTCATTCCAGGTTACAGTTCCATAGTTTGAATAAGTACAGTTTATCATGATAATCTACTAAGAAATCTTCGTTCGAAATGCAGTTCAAAGTTAGATATGGTGATTTACAAAAATAGAAATAGAATCGAAGGCGAAGAAATTGCTTTATTGTATTGACTGCTACGTAAGTTTCATGAGTCTTGACCCAGCCAAACAGTCAAAAACAAAACCACATATAAGTTTGTCCTGAACAGCATAATTCAAAAGAGCAACAATAATTTATTAATACTTTGACAAAAACGCCTCTGACATAATCAAACATTTGAGAGAGGATGGAAGAGATAATAGACGAACTTTGTTGGGTAAATCTGAACCAAGTGTGCGCCATATCATCAGTGCCGTTGATTGGAACAGGCTTGTGGGTTGGGAGGCCGCCGTCCTCAAGAAGTCCAGCATATCCTTATTGATCCGGAGAGATGTGGGAAGGGCGACTGAAGAACTACCTGACCGCAGATAAGCAAGGTTAGAAGGGTGGTAACCCGCCGAAACCATGTATTTCACCAAATCCCAGGACGCGTTCTCTATCGCCAACTCGAATGGGTCCATATACACTTCCTCATCTGGTCTGCGCGTTATCCTTCCACGTACGTCCATTCGGCACCCGTGCGAGATGAGAGCACGTGTCACGGCAGCGTCTCCTTTGTTGACAGCCACCAGAAGAGGCGTCATCCCAGACTGGACTGCAACAGGAACAGGAAGTTACGTTATCATCAATCGTCAATACAGGTTACACATTTAACTTTGAGGAACCATATATAGAGTATTAAATGGCTCCGCCTTGATAAAACATAAAGAGGAATAAATAAAGGAATTAACCCCACACATCTTTCAAACAAAACCGTAAATCACCTACTGATTATAAGATATACTTAAGATTGTTTTCTCATTAATTCGAGACAAGTGTGAGGAGGGGACTATAGGCAATTGTTACTGTTAATTGTGCTACCCTCAAATCCTCCATTGAACGTTGATAAAAGCTAATCGTTAAATCTAGTTTTCGCAAAGATTACGGAATCTGAAGTAATAAAACATAATTATCTTGATGACAACAAAAAACATTGATAACAAGTTTGCCCCTACCTGGTACGAAAATGATAAATTAATTTAACGGGCAACAACTGCGATAATAGAAAGGTACTTCATTAAAGGGACGAAAGGGCCTAATACTATGTGGTATCTAGGTCTGTATGTTCTAAGAGGAAGCCAACATTCAATATGGCAAGTATTAGTCGTTTACAAAACACCATTATAAATTCTGACAAGATCTTCTGTGAGACAGACTTGAACATACTGTATGTTTTAATGTTATCCCTGCTCCAACACAACACACCGTCAAAGCTTTCCTCTTCTTTTTGTTACAGTTATCATGTACCTGACATTATGTCTATATCAATATTGTAGAGGATATGGGTGGCACTATTCTGATAACAATATATCATTAACAATTGGCATGAGAAAAACTTATGTAGTATGTAGCTGAAAGAAAATGGTATGCATGACAGTAGCATATGACATGGGTACGTTACAAAACAAAATGAAGGTTTAATGAAATCTACAACATGGCTTATTGAACACTGATATGATATGATATGTTAAAGAAAAGTGTCTACTTAATACACTTTAAAGTCCTTAGTTGTAAGTCAAAACATTCCATACAAAAACAACTCTCATTATTGGAAACAGTAACCGGACTTATTAAATTAATTGTGTCTTCTTATTACACAATTCTGTCTTAATTGGTAATCAAAACATTTCTGTCTTAATGGCATTCAAAACATTTCAGAAAAAAACAATTTCCATAAGTATATGCTTTTACAAGTGGATGGTAGACATAAGCAACCATAAACAAAAGTTTCATATCAAACACATTTTCTTGTTTATAAAAACCAAAAATAACATTTAACTGATACAGAACCGACTACCTTTTACAACAATACATTAGGTTTAACACGGTGATCTTCCACTCTGACATTTTAGAAATATCATCATAAATTTCTCTTTAATAAGATGATTGATGACGACAAAAATAGGTAAGAGAAGCATTAAAAAGATCAATTACATTACACCTTCAACAGCTTACTGTAATAAATTAATCCTATGAAATGCAAAATTATTTCCGACTTATATCCATTTGAATACAATTAATCATATGTGCTATCTATTTAATAAAATATTACTGCCCTAAATAATTTCCCTAATATGTATGCTCTGAATGATAACAAAATGACCTATATAATATATATATATATCCGTCTGCTCTAAATTCTTTCTCATAACACATTGTCGGCTAATTGCTTGACTCATACATAGAGGATCTGTCATAAGTGTCCCTTTATATAAAATTCATGATACAAGTGTTGGATTTTTCATGTGTGCGAGCTTCAAGCGAGCAAAGATGACAAATCCATAACGAGTATCATAAATCTGATATGAGGGGAAACGAATGACAGATTCTTTAATCATATAATACAAAGTAAACTGTATAATTGTGTTCTGAAACAAATGTTTTGCACTTAGCCGCCTCTGACACGATCAAAATTGCGTTCGCTTCACAATGACGTGACGTCACATTGATTGTTCCCATTCGATTGTGACGTCATTTCTGAAGTGATATTACATACGTTACATTAAGATAATTTATGTGATGGTTTTATGACACTGCATAACACGGTATTCATATGATAAATGTCTTTATGTCACTTGATTGGTTAGATGAGTATTTAAGTCATAGATTATCAATTCTACCTTTAATAAATTCCTATGAGCGCTATCTATTCAAAACGAATTCCATAATAGTAGTTACTTTGTTATTTTCGGAGAACTATACCAATTTCAGACGGTACTTGTAAGCATGCAATATTTGAGCATTATATTTAAAAGTTGTAATTAAATTTTGATTCCGTTGTATCTGCGAAAAACCGCAAAATTTTAAGTACACCTCAAATAATGAACGGTAACAGTTGTAACATAATATAAAATGTAGCTCAAATAATGAACGGTAACAGTTGTAACATAAAACACCTCAAATATTGAACGGTAACAGTAGTAACATAAAACACCTCAAATAATGAACGGTAACAGTGGTAACATAAAACACTTCAAATATTGAACGGTAACAGTTGTAACATAAAACACCTCAAATAATGAACGGTAACAGTACTTACATAATACACCTCAAATAATGAACGGTAACAGTTGCAACATAAAACACCTCAAACAATGCACGGTAACAGTTGTATCACAATACACCTCAAATAATGCACGGTAACAGTGGTAACATAAAACACCTAAAATAATTAACGGTAACAGTGGTAACATAAAACACCTCAAATAATTGACGGTAACAGTGGTAACACAATACACCTCAAATAATGCACGGTAACAGTGGTAACATTAAACACCTCAAATAATTGACGGTAACAGTGGTAACACAATACACCTCAAATAATGCACGGTAACCGTGGTAACATAAAACACTTCAAATATTGAACGGTAACAGTAGTAACATTAAACACCTCAAATAATTAGCGGTAACAGTGGTAACACAATAAACCTCAAACAATGCACGGTAACAGTGGAAACATTAAACACCTCAAATAATGCACGGTGACAGTGGTAACATAAAAGACCTCAAATAATGAACGGCAACAGTGTTAACATAAACCACCTCAAATAATGAACGGAAACAGTGGTAACACAATAAACCTCAAACAATGCACGGTAACAGTGGAAACATTAAACACCTCAAATAATGAACGGAAACAGTGGTAACACAATCCACCTCAAATAATGCACCGTAACAGTGGTAACATAATACACCACAAATAATGAACGGTAACAATGGTAACACAATACACCTAAAACAATGCACGGTAACAGTGGAAACATTAAACACCTCAAATAATGCACGGTGACAGTGGTAACATAAAAGACCTCAAATAATGAACGGAAACAGTGGTAACACAATAAACCTCAAACAATGCACGGGAACAGTGGTAACATAAATCACCTCAAATAATGAACTGTAACAGTTGTATCACAATACACCTCAAATAATGCACGTTAACAGTGGTAACATAAAACACCTCAAATAATGCACGGTAACAGTGGTAACATAAAACACCTCAAATAATTAACGGTAACAGTGGTAACATAAAACACCTCAAATATTGAACGGTAACAGTAGTAACATAATACACCTCAAATAATGAACGGTAACAGTGTTAACATAAAACACCTCAAATAATGAACGGTAACAGTTGTAACATAAAACACCTCAAATAATGAACGGTAACAGTTGTATCACAATACACCTCAAATAATAAACGGTAACAGTTGTATCACAATACACATAAACTATTGAACGGTAACAGTGGTAACATAAAACACCTCAAATAATCAACGGTAACAGTGGTAACACAATACACCTCAAACAATGCACGGTAACAGTGGTAACATAAAACACCTCAAATAATGAACGGTTACAGTTGTAACATAAAACACCTCAAATATTGAACGATAACAGTGGTAACATAAAACACCTCAAATAATGAACGGTTACAGTTGTAACATAAAACACCTCAAATAATGAACGGTAACAGTGNACAGTGGTAACATAAAACACCTCAAATAATTAACGGTAACAGTGGTAACACAATACACCTCAAACAATGCACGGTAACAGTGGTAACATAAAACACCTCAAATAATGAACGGTAACAGTGGTAACATAATACACCTCAAATAATGAACGGTAACAGTAGTAACATAATACACATCAAATAATGAACGGTAACAGTTGTATCACAATACACCTCAAATAATAAACGAATGAACGGTAACAGTTGTATCACACTACACCTCAAATAATAAACGGTACAGTTGTATCACAATACCCCTCAAATAATGCACGGTAACAGTGGTAACATAAAACACCTCAAATATTGAACGGTAACAGTTATAACATAAAACACCTCAAATAATTAACGGTAACAGTGGTAACATAAAACACCTCAAATAATGAACGGTAACAGTTGTAACATAAAACACCTCAAATAATGAACGTTAACAGTTGTATCACAATACACTTCAAATAATGCACGGTAACAGTTGTAACATAAAACACCTCAAACAATGCACGGTAACAGTTGTAACATAAAACACCTCAAATAATGAACGGTAACAGTTGTAACATAAAACACCTCAAATAATGAACGGTTACAGTTGTAACATAATACACCTCAAATAATGCACGGTAACAGTTGTAACATAAAACACCTCAAATAATGAACGGTAACAGTGGTAACATACATAAAAAGACATATGTAAATTCGTGCTTTTTTAGGATTGACCACGTGTGTTGGTGTGGAATGCAATAAATGTATAACTGGAATAATGGTCATTTTTTAAATGAAACAATAGTCTAATTTTGACTAACGAATCTATAACGAAGACATTAGTTTTTCAATAATTGTCATAACTTGTACATATCAACGCCAATAGAAATATCTTTAACATTGATCATGATGAATGAAGGGTAATTTACATACATATTTGTTCAAAGACAATTGATCCCGTTATGAGGTCCCATTCTAAAAACGAGAAACCAATCTAACCGCAGGCAATGTTACAGCAATATCAGTCTAGCAGTATTTATGTGTTTATATACATCCAAACGTAAAGTCTGCTTTACCAACACCATTAACGAGACATACGCTACACAATCTGTCTAACCACAGTAAAGGAAAATCATCTCCAGTATATATGCCTGACATATATACGCTGGGTTTATTAGAGTTCACAAATTTGATGGTTTTTTTAATATGTCTACAATGTTACACTTGATAAATAAACATTTGGATATCTGGAAACTTTGCGAGACCATACCTTGATTTACATATATACATTGTGTAATAATACGTTAACATACTGGCGCCATCACTGTGCAATTACTGTCTGTCTATTGGTAACATTTCCATATACACTTAATGTTGTTCAGTTGTATCAAGCTTCAACTGTTTATGATGCATCGATATTAATTGACAACAATTCATTTCTAACAATACGTGGAGACACGAGCCTTGTCCTGTCATCTCAGGGTAATCGTTATTAATCCCAGATCAAGTATGTTTTTTTTCAGTTTAAACAACTATAAAAATATCACTGGTTATTTTTTCAAGGTGGAGAGGAGATATTGCAATGTGGTACAACAGGATGAGTATCATGTACGTAATAAAAAGGGTGATCATCCCAGGTCTTGTCTACTTTGTTTTGATGATTTTGGAAACTGTCTTAAAACTGCAATAACAAAATCCTTAAGTAGCTGATATTAAATGAAAGTCTTTTTCAGGTATAAATAAATGTATGCATCGCGCCTGTCACCTAAACATTGTTATCTGTATTGCTTTAATATGATTACATAGAGAAACATAGGTGCGCACTTATCTTATATAAGAGGTATGTCATTGCATTATATATGATCAGATGATGATTGCGATAGGAAAGCGAATCATAAATTCTATACCCTTTTACATTTAGAAACATCTAAAGTAGGAAGATATATTAATAAATTCACACATCTATGCGTTTTTGTAAATATAACTAATTTCTTATATTTCTGCGGAAGCGAACTATCGAAAACTTATTTCAAGAGTTATCTTCATGCACAAAAATACGAAAAGTAGTGATTTAATATTCTTCATTAAATGTAAAATACTTATAAATTGAAACATCCTTTTTTATAATTATCTCTTTAAACAAAAGTATTTTGTAGTAATCAAAATTATGTTTCTTATGTTAAATAAGGAAATTACAGTAATCTAGACACATAGCATTACAGTTCGCAAACTGGTATTTGCGTTTGACATTTTGACAAGGAGCATTTTGATACTAAAATATACTTATGTAGTGACTTAAAACTGAGTTAAAGACATACACAAATTGACAACTTCCGAACAGGATATCAAATTGTAGACGGAACGAATTATAAATTTTGAAACATATACATATTCGTTAACAAAAAATATACATGGATCAATTTCTTTCTATATTATATAACATATTGCTCTATGGCCAGCTGATTCAGTAACCTCTGGACACAAGGTAAAATGAGTAGCCAAAAATCATCTTGCAAACATTTTCTTTGGTATAATTCATAAAGAGGTTTATGATAACCATAAAGACTGATTAATATTATTTAATGTGTTGACAAGAAACAAACAAATGAAAAATTACGGTTATTCGATTATTTGGTAGATAAGCAGAAGAGTGGAGTTACAAAAATATCAAGATTTGCTTGGGGTGTTTTTTTTAAGAAAATTTGAAAGGAGAACTTTTATAAACAACACTATCCCTTGATATTAAGAAACTGGTTTTAAAATTAAATTGTATCTTTTTAAGATATTTGAGCAGATGAGGAATAATATACGATATTTGTTCAGCTTTGAATACAAAGGGAGACGACTTCGACATCCTATCGTGGCCTGTTTAGTCCAATACAAACCAGTCTTACACTCTTTGTAGTGTAAAATATTAGTGCTACCTTACTGTATTTGACATTTCAAATATATATTATAGATTTATCTAGGTCGATTTTCCGAGTTACTGGGGCACTGACTGTAATGTGTTATCCTGGTCATCTGTCGAAATTGGGAGTCTAGGGACAGCGAGATTAGGTCAACTTAAGGTCGCTAGGGGAGGGGATAAGTGCAGGCAAAGAGAGACAAACCTGCGTAAATAAATTTCAATTACATACATTTGTCGCAAGATACTCCATTTTGGTGCCAATTGGCATACTTGCAAAAAGCAAACATCAAATGCTTTAAAAATAATCATCATTTCAAACACACGATACGCATTGTATATATCTAAATCAATTTTTAAAAAAGGTTCAAACTCTTTGTTTTAATTGGTTCGTCGTGCTGACCATAAATTGTTAGTCAGATTTATAAAAAACAACAAGCTGTATGATTTTATTGATTTTTAAAGCTGATTTTGTACGTGGAAATCGTTATGTACATTGGTATTGCCTCTAAAATGGACAGGTCGTTTTGACAATTCGACAAATATACATGGTCTGCATTGGAAGATGTCACTGATAAAGTGTCTTAAAATACATATACAGATATCTCAATAAGTATGTGAGCATAAGTCCTTATATATTGATATATTGGTTCATGTCATACATCCCCTTTATAATGTCCCTTAGAAAATCGACAACTACAAACTGTTACGAAAGGTTGTCCTTAATATACTAACTCTTGGAATAGAATATATTAACTCTTGGAAATACAACACATTAATTCTTGAAATAAAATATATGAACTCATGGAATACAATTCTTAATTATACAAGTATATATATATCTTAATGTGACGTCATCAGTAAATAAAGATTATGAATATAATATTAGGTTGTGGAAGATAATTCTGTATTGAAAAATAAAAACAAAATAAGAAAAGCATTTGTTTTTGAAGATAACGTCTGTATCATATAAATAAATAAAAAACATCTCTTGGAAATACATATGGTTATTGAAATAAAAACAAAACGCAGAGGCTGGTTTACATTATTATTGAATACCACTAGCAAATATGTTAGTAGTTAATGGTTAGTTTGTTAACTAAATTAAGAATGACATGAAGTGTTATCAATAATCGCGTTACGGTGATGTCTAATACAGCCAAATGTTACATCACTGTAATAATACAACATGTATAAATATAGAACATAGCAATACTATAATGACAACCGATAGTACTACAGTGATGTCTAGTTCAGTCAAATGGTACATCACTGTATTAATACAACATGTATAAACATAGAACTTAGCAATACTATAATGACAACCGATAGTACTACAGTGATGTCTAGTACAGTCAAATGGTACATCAGTGTATTAATACAACATGTATAAACATAGAACATAGCAATACTATAATGACAACCGATAGTACTACAGTGATGTCTAGTACAGTCAAATGGTACATCAGTGTATTAATACAACATGTAAAATATATAAATTATCAATACTACTCACTACCAATAATATACAAAGTATAATTGTAACACCAAACAAGCGTTTCAATCGAGTACTGATTCGGGTATGTATCGGCTAAAAGACCCACATACAACAGATAGGTTAATTTACTACAAGTATAAAAATTAATCTTAAGCTTTAGACTTTTCAAAAATTGACCTTGATTCTTAATGCCTGTTAAGTTTCCGTGTTCGTCTTTTTGTGTTTTTCATCTTTTTGTTACATAAATTCGGTCTCACCTTAGCGTGTTTTACCATTTTTGATAATGTTTATGTTGCTTTGGTTTAAACAATAGTATATTTATTGTCAAACGAACACAAGGGATAAGGCACAATTTATTACAACTTTTCAACGCCTTCTCATAGTCCCAGGCTTGTTCGTAATACTCAAAAAATGAATAAAGAATTATGTTAACGCCTTAAGTGAAAACAGGTATATTATTACACGATGAATGGTATTTTTATTCTTAACGAGATAGTTCAAAATCACTTAAAATAGTAAAATAGATAAATAAACAAAGTTGAGTTTTGACTATTGAAAAATACATTGATTTTGTCATCTTAAATATCCTCCAAGCCAGACAAAGCGATTTCTATAACAAACTAACGGGTTATAAGTAAAACATATTCCAAATAAGCTACAAATATTTCCTTGAATCTAATATTCTTTGTAATTATAACACAAAAATGATATGAAAGCTATATTCATCGCAAGTATCTACCCAGTATTGTACGTTCCAAAATCAAAAATGGTCAAATTAGATATTGCCTGTCTAATTGATTGCGAGAAAATGAAGATTAAAATTATATCATGAAGACTCGAAAAACAGCCTGATTTGTGGGAAGGGATGCTAACGATCTAAATGTAGTATTATATTAATAGAACGCACCTATATAAAACGGAATCATTTGATTACCGCTAGAAGAAGGGTTAATCCGTGCGACGTACTGTTTGTGCCGAGGTTATAGCTTGTTTAGTGTTAGTTAGTTTTCGTGATAAAGATAATTTAGTTCATTACATCTACGAGTAATAGTCAATTAGTCTACATCAGATACTTACAATTCCGTAATAATACTGAAAATGTGAAAGCAAGAATTATTTCCCTGGAAAGAAGACAAAAATTCAAAAGGAAAAAACACACCAATCAAGCCTTTCATGCGAGTTGGGAAGACCACACATGGATTCTGGGCCGACTAACACACCAATACAGCTCATACTACAGAAGAAGGCTGAGAGAATCAATGTTTACTGTAGAAAGTATCTATCAAAATCAGTAATAATTGTTGAAAATATAGATAAAATTGAAATCCCGATATCAGATTAAACTTCGAACTATTTAGATTCCGTATACATAATTTTAAATGTACATGATAAAGGATTTAAAACTGTTATCCAATCATGTTTAATAACTATTTATTAACGTTTCTTATTGTAAGACCCATTTACTTAAAGCCTTGTTAGTTTAACAGTTAAATCGATTCATATATCTAACGGGTTTGTTTTAAACTATTCAAAAGTTTAAAGTCGAAAATGCGTGTATATAAATCACTATAATTGCCTGACATCCAGACAAGTTTTAAACTGAACGAAGTTAAATCTCATTTCAATGATAAAGGTTGTTTGTCATGAATGTGGTAAGTATCTAGCTGTATCAGTGCATGTATGCACCGCGGAGTTGACATACACTGTAATAAGTATTATATATTATATAGTATTCATCACAAACATCCATCATCTCTGAATTACTACATTTATCAAAACTTGTTTCACTCCTTATTTTATAAATGTGTTGATGGACTCATCAGCAAAAGGTGGAATGCTTTACATAAAGAGACAGTGAAGATTTATCAACTATCACAATGTCCAAGACTACAATACAATGTATATACAAACACTTGTGGGTGCTTCTGTGTTATTATGTATTTACATTAGTAACTGACATGGTCAGAAAGGAGTATCTATTCATTAAAATCCCAAAACATATGGACATTGTTAGCTAGGTTTAACTAGTCACTGTTTAACTATGTAAATTATCAAAAGACTAAGTAGTTTAAAATGTAAGCTGTCACATAAGACTTGAGCTAGGGCTTTTCTCAGGTCGGTACGGCTGGTATGGGCCATCGCATAATGATCTCCGCAATAACCATTAGCCCAGTTGCTTTGTCTGTACTTGGGTCAGCGACACTTAATGAATCGTTAGGTGTGACCTTGTCTGACCTATGTACCGCATTCAGTAAGTGATGTACCACTTGTAAACGGTCATTACACTTGAGAGTACCCAGATAATAATACCGTAGTAAGCGACCCACCAACAGTGGGGCCTCGATCATACACCCATAACCTCTTCCAGCGAACATTAATACGCGAAGAAGTCAGTTCTAGAAAAGCCTTCAGTCGTATTTAAACCGCTCCAGAAATTAAAAGGGAAATAAGGTTAGTGCTAATCCTCAGAATCTATGTAAATATAATTAGATTTCGGTTCGTTAGACACATCTTACGGCACGATGGCACTAATGCGCTGTGCGTGTTTGTTTTACAGAGGAGATCCCACATGACTTAGAACACCCACATGTTGGTGTTCTATCATCCAGAAGATGACCCGCCCATAGGGTTCTTTATAATGATGTTATAGTCCCTCTCATCTCAAGGAAGGAAGATTAACAACATATTTATGTATTAATATTAGACTCTTTGATATTTTAAAACTCGTATTGATTCTGATATATATAGCTTTAGGTGGGATTTCTTCACCTGTTATTCTCGCAGGTTTGTTAATTCGCAGGTTACCCTAATGGGAAATAGTCAAAACATGTCCTGCCGCGAAGATGTTCCTATGTACAGTGTAGTATGTCCTCGCCAATCTTACTATGATTTTATCCTTTCTCCCACCATGAAAGGGCAACAGCGAAATATATTGATTATTCGTTGACGGCAAAACCACTACTGCTAGTGTAGCTGACAAGATCCGTTTTGGACATTCTATCATTCTTACTTTAAACAAAGGGGAATAAAAAGTTTGCTTAACAACCGATATATAGTGTCTAAATCAGTATTAACTACTCACAGAGAAGTGCAGTGAGGATAAAATTAGCTACTTAATCATTCGCAATCCGACGAAAGGGGAATACAAACGTGTGAATATTGACAGTATAAGATAGTTTTGGTTGTTTTATAATCCAATATTGATATTCTATCTTTACAATGAAGTGTTATGTAAATTACATTTCTTTTCAATTGATCGATCGTCGTTCTCGATTTCGAGCTACCAAAATATGTATATATAAAGAGAGATACTTAGCAATTTGGAAAATGTTATTCTGCCTTCCCGAACGTGTTTCGGATGACTTGCTAATGCAAAAGATACATAACTGTTAACAGTAGAGCAAGTGGAACAACGAACCCTTGATTTCAATGTTATCTACTACTGACAATGTATTTTGGTTTCCTTATTCAGCAGACATGACAGACATAAATAAACTGATTTTGCAATAACTTCTTGGACTTATAAAAGGGCACACTGCATATACGGGTCACAAAATTCGAGCAGACGATCAATTGAATGGTCTTACATGTAACATCCGGACATGCGCCGTTGTCCAAAAAGAATCGCACCAGTGGCTCCACCTTGAGGAACGTTGAGACTATAAGCGGGTTACTACATTTACACTTGGTGATGTTGAGATCGGAACCCGCCTGAGTCAGTTGTACGATTACCGTCATGACGTCAGGGTCAATTTCTCGGTTTATCTCGTAGGCACTTAGGCACTCACTGATGACGTTAGTCAAGGCGCTCCGACCAGCCCTGTCCAGAGAGTTCGGGTCAGCTCCCCAAGACAGAAGCTTTTCTACGACCTTGATGTTCTTCTGTAGCGCTGCTGCCTGTAACATAACGGTTGTATATGTTCCGGGTATACGCATAAATCTGAATTATAGATTTGTACACATGGTTTTAATAAATATCTGATGAATTAATCTAAAAACCAAACTTCAAATAAAAGAGACATTTGTAATTTAAAGCTGTAAATGACAATTCGTAAAAACAAAGAATACTGTCAAACAAAAATTTGCAAAAGTATTCAGGTGCTAGATCATATAATTTTGTATTCGATTATATAACGGATCAAAATGGATACAGAAAGAAAGTTGACCTACCAAAGAGAGCTCGAGTCTGTAGATTTCTTTCTGACTCTGCTTCAATTATTACTTAAGTGTCAAACTTTAATTTAAGACCAGTTCTGACTATGTTTAATTATTTCTTTCCGTGGGTTACTGCCCAGAATGTTAGCATTGCTGTCTATATAAATATAGGTATTCAGTGGTCCCTGAAGCGTCAATACAGCTGGCTAATGAGTTGTTCACAGCAGGTAACTGTATATACGGAACTTCATTCTGACATTAGCAGCCAGATTTATATTTGGCATGTAGGTCTATAGGTTAACAAAACATATGTTGCTCTGAAAATTACACAAATATAATAGTCGACGTGTATACACATGTCCGCTAGAGGGCGGGTCGGTCTCGTGCGTCAGAGGAGTTATGTACAGTTTGACCTGTCGACAGATATAGCCGAGTAAGTAACGCAACACACTCGTTTCTTTTAAACATAGATTATGAAGACATACAGCCGAACCCCCATATTAAAGTGATTCATGGAATACCCGAATATTTATCCGGAATATCTTATATTAAGTATTCCAAATGCACTAACGTATCTCTCATATGCCCATATTTTCTCTTTTCTCAAAATGATCTCGAATGCTCCCACTTCGACATACTTTATTTATAGGAACACCCAAACATATATCATATCGAATACCAAAACTAATACCTTGTTTATTTGCAGGCGTCTTTGGTCCCGCAACAGTTTCAGATTATGACTAGTATATCTCGAAACCAATAAGGACCTCAATGGCTTTTTGTTAGCCGTGACATTTTAGGACTATACGTCTATGACTTCCAGAGCAACATCACAGCCGTAGTTCATAACATTTGAGTGAATATTCTACTCATTTGTGAACTTACAATATATTAACCTATTGCACAATATAAACTAAGAACATGTTTACGGGTAGAATCTGGGAAAAGGCTATATTAACAGGACTAAATGTTCTGAAGGGCAATCGTCGTTTGAATCTTTAATGACACCCCATGTTAAGCTCTAGTTAAATCTTTAATGACACCCCATGTTAAGCTCTAGTTAAATCTTTAATGACACCCCATGTTAAGCTCTAGTTAAATGGAAGACATGAAGAGGGAACCAGGGTAGTGAAAATTAAACCACAAGGACTGTGACCTGTGCATATATTTGCACATGGACTTTTGGTCAATGTCTGCCAATATCTGTGTGATGTGATAGCTATATAGCTCATATACAATTGTAAAATGTTATAAAAATAAATAATACCTGTGGAAGTGTTTTGTGAGTGATGTGAGAAGTGTGAATGTATTTGTATTTCAGTTATGTTAATTAAGAAGGAGTTACATCACTTTAATTTTTTAATTTTTATAATTTTCATTTCAAAATTGATGTATTAATTAAATCAAATAAAAATAATAGAATCCGTTAATTTAGCCACCGCTGGAGAGAATTTATATAGGCTTTGCCTGTTATTCCATCCAGTTGACTTGTATCAACTTTGTCAATAAAATTTGTTGAAATGAAAAAAAACACAAGGAACTCTTCGAAGCATTACCGAAACCAATTATTTGTCAATGAGATTACGATGGCTAGAACGCCTATGGAGTGATTTCTGACAGCTGTCTCCTCGTGTGAATAACCGAGAAGTGATCCAAATTTTCGTATGATATTATCAACATTCTGTATCCATGAATGACAGTTAAATTTTAAAAAGAGTGATTTTGAAATCATTGCCCAGTTTGGCTCTTCTGTCTAATCGTTAGCCCAATCACACTGTCACGAATTTTAGTCACGAGGCGCTGCATGTAATACCTCGCCACAGCTCTTCAAGTGACGGGTAAGACTCGGACACATATCTGTGCATGTCGAAAGGATGTCTCTTCATGTCGCCAGTACTCGGCAAACAACGGCAAGAATATTAAAGTCCCGCTCACATTTTCACGATTCAGGGCTACCAGTTACCACGAGTGCTGGCGAGTTATATCTCACCGAAATGTCCACGTGTTTGCGATAGTATGAACGGGACATGAGTTCGTCTCCTGATCGAGTTGTCTGCCACTCTGATACAAAGGTAATACGAAATCCTCTTATTAACACGAGTTTAATACGTACGATCTGTGTACGACACTTCCTCAAGACTTGTTTACGAGAATGAACAAGTTTATGCGAGCAAAGTCGAGCTCTGGCGAGATTTTGACGAGTTGTGACGAGTGAACTGCGAGAAATGTTCGACTTATGGCGATCTTCTGCGACTTGCGTATACATCCTGGTAGTCCTGCACCGCAGCCACATTCTTTTTTGCCAGAACCTTCTATTTTTGGCGAATGATATGTGATGTAAAGTCAACAGGGAATTGATTCTGATACAAAATATGCACACCCCTTTATTAATCACCGCAACTCGGCAGAACGCGAAGAAATGTGGAACAGAACACGTACAAAATCGAACAGTTATTAAAGGAAGTCGTGCAAACTCGTTGAATACCGGGGGCATGTTGAGCAGAAATCGAAGACATTTTACACGGCGACAAGTATCGACATGTTCATCACAGGTGTACGAGAATGGACGACATCCAATCAACATGTCTTCGACCGAGACAAAAACTCGCACGACGATTTTAAAGCGTATAAAATGTTCGCTGCTGTTTGCCGAGTACTTGCGAAATATGGAGACATATCTTCGACATGCAGAGATATGTGTTCGATTCTTATACGACACCCGCAGAGCTGGGGCGAGTTATACGCGTGACCCAAACTCGTGACAGTGTGAGCGGGCCTTACGGGGAGTGCATATTTCGTGTCATTAGAAGTTTTCCTGTAGACTCCGATTACTCCACATCTGTCTGACAACCATGAGCCCAAAGAAAAAGGTTCCTGCAAAAAAAGTGCAGGACTACCAGAATGTACACCAAAGTCGCAAAAGATCGCGTAAAATCGTACATTTGTCGCAGTTCACTCGTCGCAACACGTTCAAAACTCATACATATGCTACCAGAACTCGACTTGACCCGCTTAAACTGGTACAATCGCGTAGAAAAATCATCGGTTGTTGAGAAATTGTCGTACACAAATACCTATACTCGTGTTTAAAAGAGCATTATCGTACTACTCTCGCATCAGAGTGGAAGATAACTCGGAGTCGAACTAATGTCGCATTCAGCACAAACTATTAAAACTCGTGGAAATTCAGGTGGGTTATAACTCGACAGCACTCTTGGTTACTCGTAGCCCAAAATACTGACTGTGTGACCGGTCCTAAAGACAAAGTAAGGATTTGTTTTTATTATTCTAGCAGTTACTTTTATTTTACTGAGATTTGGCATACACATAATTTTGTGTATTAGTTTGTGGCTCTTTCCCTAATTGATGGTACAATCCTGACTATGTACTTTTGAAATTCATAATAGGGTTACATGGCAATAAGCGTCACAAGAGAAATCTTTGAAAAGATTCTCGAAAGGGCATATCAGCAGACCAAGACCTGATCTTGCGACAGCAGATCATTCGTGTAATCTAAATGTCTCCCAATCAGTCGAGGACCAACGTTGTGTATTAGTTTGACAAAACAGGCCAATACTTTTCCCCAAAAATTCTGCAAGAGGCTAAACACTATTTGTCGATTCGTGAAGGGTTATCCCAAAAGTACCACACCTGTGCAAAAACGGGGATATATAAAAGAACTGGACTACTTATATTATTGACAGCAACTACTTAAGCGTGTAACCGTGATCTGAAGGTGGTGTTCTCTTCGCTTTCACGTAAAATCAGATGTAAACAAACCCTTTACACGAATACAACATCGCCGAAACTAGCGTAGATAATAAACAAAGAAAAGATTTCCACGGAAGCCATTGAAAAATACAAGGACAATGAAAGGATGTGTTCTGGGAGGGTAAGCGTTTCACCGACAACACCCGCCAAGTAATCTATGGTATAATCCAAGTATGACAATTCTCAAAGAGAGAACAGAGGTAGTGTCATCAAGAATACTACAAAAGAACACCTACACGCTCAATCAAAAGAGTTGATATTCATATCTTATAGGGAAAAAAGAATATTTCCCAATACAAATTATGATAGTCTCCGTCAACTTACTTTTCTAGGAATATTGTGTTGTAAGTTTGTCCGTCAGCTAACTATATCAATCATGATAAACCATCATATTCGGTTCAATATCTACTCAACTGCGACATGTTAACATCTTGTGTAGGAGTACAGGGATGTCATATCAAGAAAAGGAAAGTTCAAGAACGGAAAATCAGCTTAAAACAAAACAGATCACGATGCAGATGTAGAACAATCATAAATCTCATTCTGTTTAATGAAGTGCAATAATTACACTTTGTAAGTTGTATCCAACGAACCATTTTTCTCGTTTGTCTAAGTTTGTGATTTACGCGTATTCAGACGCCGATAATTGAATGGCATTCCTGTACACAAGACATTCCGAAGGACAGCATTAACTGAAGTCAATACAAAATTTACCTCAATTATCAAGTTATTTCTTTAGGAAAATGTGTGTCCGTAGGACTGTAACCTAGTATGTACATAGGCTTCTACGCATGTGTTTCAAGGCAAATTCAAACGCTTTTATTATATTCTTATCATTATAGGCAGGTCATGTGAAGTTTCAAGCTAGCTACAGACTTGCTTTGTTGGCGTGTCCTTAAATTGCCTTTGCTGTTGATTGAATGCTAAATTCTATAAAACTAAACCTTGCTTTGATTAACGGAATCTGTGAGGATCGGGTGTTAGCAATATTCTACAACAAGTATTTTACTTTGCCCATGGTAGAATATACATGCCAATTTGCCAACCAACTATTGTCTTGGTAGATGACCCGTTGAACCGGAAGTAAATATATATATTATCTTATAGCATTTACGACCTACCGCAAGAGCCCGACCTACCTGAAGAGCTGACCTTTTACATCGAAAGTCCCTCATATTGACAACAGCCCCAGATGTGAGTAGCACGTCCAGAAGTGTGATTTGGTTTGGGTACGGTGGCTGAGAGCAAAGATTAATCAGAGGGGTCAATCCACACATAGTGCTAGCGTTAACGTCACTTCCGTACCACAGTAACAATTTGACAGCCTCTTCACAACCTTCCTCTACTCCAAAATGTAGTGCAGTTTTACCGAATTTGTCCTGGCACCTCACAGAGGACTTTTTCCATGACAACAAAAATTTTGCCAGATTAAGGTTCCTGGCAATGACACAGTGCATTAAGGGGGTCTGTCCCCATCTGTCCCGGATGTTAATGTCAGCTCCATTTCTTATTAGAAGTTTCGCGCACTCTACACGTCCCTTTTCACAACAAAGATGGAGCAGGGACTTTCCGCTCAAACGTCCGTCGTCCTCAAATAGATAGTCGACATCCGCGCCACCTACTAGCAATTTGTGTAGCTTTTTATGATTATCCTGTTCCAGCGACAGATAAAGATCGGGCAAAACCGCCATTCGTTCATACCGGAAGCTCCCGAAATCACCTAAAAAAGAAAAGAAAAACAATGTTACTTAACATGTAACTTTTTAATGTAATTATGTATTGTTAGAGTTGTCATGGATCTCCTTTATCCGATTTCGATTGTCCGCTCACTTACTTTCGAAAGTTTTAACTATTTGTTTCCGAAAATGTCGTTAAGTCGGTAATTTTACCGACATCAGAGTGTCCAGTTCTACGATGTCACTGTTTGTGAAAACTAAAATATTTGGGGAAAACCAGAAAATCATTAAAAAAATATGAATATGCTTAAAATATTCAACCAATTATTCCGGATACCTTTTTGTCGGAAATCAAATTGTGTTCGGATGACAAGAATCCATTGGGTTAAAAAGAATATTATTTAAACAGAAATGTACATGCATTGACGGTAGTATTTCCTCGATACGTCCAGTTCTACTCCGTGTGACTAAATGAATGGTTTGCGATATTTTACCGAATTGATGTAAACCTGTGTAGCATGTATAATTCTCTATACGCTCGTGTGGACGGGGATTGGTTCGTGGCCAGTATATGTCAGATCAACAGGTTTTCTGTGTTTCTTATCCAAGTATGGAAGCCACTCCGGCGCACTTGTAGTACGTGTCCATGGACTCATAGCACTGCAAACAGAGTACTGGGTGTTAACTGGACGTTACATATAAAGTGGTTTAGAAACAAAAAACATAATTACAAAATACATAAGTGATTTGTTATCGATATATCTGCATAAGCAATTAATACGCATTATATAATAATGGTACTAATTTACATAGGCAGCTCGCTTGTTTCCAAATCCGTATGTCGTTTTTATCTTCTGAAAAAGCGAATAGTATTTGCCATCTTTAAAATTGCAACAATAACATATACCTTTAACTTGGTAATACTATTTTACTATATCGATAACCCACTTTATTTTCAATACAATGATTCCGCTGCAACATGCCGCAATTACAAATGTTGACGTCACAGATGCCCTGAGGTTTTCTCATTATGTCTCAACAATTTTCGGGGAGATGGACTATAACTTAATAAAAGCCGTTGTCTTTGTATTCCAAAACGTAACCAACAGGGTAGTGTTGGTCTGAGGAAAACGTAACCAACAGAGTAGTGTTGGTCTGAGGAATAACGGCTGCATCTCCTCGTGGGTAAATTATTTCAATCTTTAAATATATCTGGTGTTCATCAAGAAGCCGGAAATGTCCTTTATCGTGACCATGTATTAGGTCACCTGCTCGGTATTCTACGGTTGTAAAAATCAGTAGTTAAATAGTAATCACCATACCATCTTGGCTTACCATGGAGAGATCGACACGATATTGCAAACAAATATATTTCTTCTAACAATTGTGGAATGCTTAGTATGGCATATAAAAACTAGTTTAGTGTTCATAATTAATTAGAGCAAAAAACTAAGAATTATGAAAAAGAAAAGAATTATGAACGGATGAGGAAATATTTTGGTAGAATTTCATCGCAGACGTATCATCAGCTGACTGTCGTGTAGTTGTCTTGATTAGGCTCCCGTACTTCGTAGAACTAATGACGTAAAAAACGGAGCATTGTCACCTCCGGCACGGTCCCACATGTGTACATGACGCTATAATAACTCTGGTGTATATCCCCGTACCATACATACATTGGCATCGTCCCCACCCCATCGTATCTCAGGTCGATACATCTACTATATGCTTTAGTCAGCAGAACGCTGAACTATTGCCTCGAAATAGTCCATCTACTGAATAACTCGAAATCAGCGCCAAAACTGTTACGTCAACAGGATTCGTAAATGGCCTATATACCTTACTATTGACGTATTTCGGAGAAGTTACTGTAAATTACAAACACTCGCGATACCTGTATATTGTGCAAAGGTACTGGCCACAGTCTATTTTTCTTGTGACCTGCTATAAGGACACAGATAGTGCAAAAACAACATATACAGTGTGTTCCTAAGTTACCCTACAAAATGAGTCAGAAAAGGTAAAAATAGCAATAAAACGGTACAAAATATATTTATATTCCTATTTAATAAAATCCGTTTGAAAATCGAATACCTTTATATATTTATTTTTTGAAATTTAACTACCCATCGGCATAACAACACAAATATATTTGGAGCAACCCATTGGAAACATAAATATTTCTGACCAGTCAATGTGATACGTTCGAACTATTTAGACGAATTCTGCAAATATAAAAAGAACTGCAAATGTTTCCGAATTGTCTCGAATACAGTTCAAAATGAGGTATATTCATTGCAGCTCTCTTTCGAAATATTTAACCGTACTTTTAACCATAATATTATGCAAAAGAATCTTACTGTTCATTGCGCGACGATCAAAGGTAACGATACCTCGGGATGTAGCGATGGTAAGTTATCGATCTCCATTGAAATTCCAAAAGATCATCTATATTTTTCCCGTTAATATTTGAACGCCAATGTAGTTTTATCATTTAATTACAGAAAATGTATTGACATCAAGTGCACCAAGTACACACATTAACCAGCTCATGCCTAGTGTGTGATTTTCTCTGGCTGGTGTAGTGTTTGGAATTTCTGTGAATATTTCCTCCGGCGGGACGTTCATTAGATTAATGTTGCCAAATCATTGATCAGTCAGAACTATTGACTTCTGAAGCGATGTAATTAACGAAACGTAATTCATTAGTTAAGCAAATTGAAAACTATTTTCCTAATAAATAAAATGGTGATTAAGAACTTTCAAGGATTTTTCATTTGATTCCAGTGTTATATATACATAAAAAGGTATGTACGTTTTGGCAGAAGATTCGATTCCAAAGTACCAAAATATATGTACGAATGGTGTTTGTCTGGGGGTTTAACTTCCTCGCAACAGTTTAGATCATCATATAGACGGGTGCCTAGGAAAGTGAGAAAAAGAAAACAATTTTAAAGGTCCCAGGTGTTACAATGTGGACAGTGGATCAATTTTGGTAACTTCAGTATCCCCTCACAGAGTGGAAAACACCCCGATTGTGCAGGGCCCCAACAACAATCATCTCGTACAACATACAGCCGTGATACACATACATGTAGTATACAGCATGCCAACCTGCACGTGTAAACAAAGGAACAATCGAAAAACCGTGTGTAAACAAAGGCTCACTGAAGACATTTCCACTGTCGTGTGTCCAACACACGGACTATTACGTAGTTTGGTTTTGAAGTCCTTAGTCCTTATCCATTGGTCACTTAAATACCCCTGTAAAATGTATTGCGAAAGGTGATTTATATGGAACGATTACACGATAGTGAAAAAATATATACTTCTGAATTAATTATTGATACACTCTATGTTAAGGCGAAGTTTGTAAACAAAAAAAATATTGTCAAAGACATTGAAAGGTCATTGAAGGGTCATGTTTTAATGCTATCTTGAACTCAAAACGTAATACACTTATCGGGTCACTGCTTCAATTGTTTTTTTCTTTTTTTCATCCTCTGTGACCAACTTAAAATTAAATAACGTAAATATGCATATATGATCTTTATGTATACATCCCCAAATCTCACTGTTATAACACAGGGACCTGAGAATTTTATACAGCTTACTAAGGTGTTCAGAGTAATTTTACACGTTTTAGGGGGTTTATATCAACTTTCGGTAAAAATGCCATCCCAAAATGATGATATATATGGGAGTGAGATTTTTACCGAAAGATGAATTACTCTGAACACCTTAGTTAAGGTTCAAATATAGAAGTAACAAATTATCAAAATGTCACTGTGCGTTATATTACACAACAATGAAAGGTCATGGTCTTTCTATGACGTTACAAACACGACGATTTGGTTCTCGTTTGTAATGTATTTGTAAGAAAATCACTCCATTAAAGCAAGTCTGCGTTAAAGTCCCTTTAAAATGAGACAAAAGACGTATTATTACATGTGATCGCAGTAACGTTATCACTTTAGACATCTCCACCGAATGTATATAATTTAAAATAAATTATATTGATGAAAATTTTAATTAGTGAATAAAAGTCACATAATGTTTAAGGAAACATATTCAAATGTGAACATTTGGAAAATTTTAATATGGTCTTCAATCAAGGAAAATAACATAAAATGCAAGTCAGCTAATTTACATAATGTGCCGTAATATACAAACTTAGGTGTATCTCATTATGATGTGTGACATTCTTATTGATGAAATGAGAAGATTTAAAAACTGTACATAATAAAATTATGCATAGTCATTATGATTGGAACATCATTAAATATTCATATGATCATATTTACATTTGCATGGCATTGTCACTATATAGCCTCTTTGGAAGCTGTGTCGTTGATGGGATTTTAATGACCATGCAGCACGAGACATAATTATTAGCGTATTAATACAACACTGACCGGAACTACAATATCCAATGTAAATAAACATGACGGCTGCTGAAATATCGCTAGGCATTATGAGATTTGACAATGTCATTGTAAATTTATGTGCAAAATAAAAAATAAAATAAAAAAATACTTTTATTACAACAAAAACAAGACCAAGGTCTGCAATATCGTACAAAATGCACATCGTTGAAATCACCAATGCCGGCAATGGAAACAGTTTATCGCTCATGCATTTTATCAAAAATATCGTCTGTTACACTGCACTGATCAACAGGGGTTCGTTACAAATGTCTGAAATACCCATATTTTAAAGACCTACTGACACGCATGTTACAGACCTACTGATATGAGTCACAGCACACAAAAACATTTCAGACATTTGTAATGAACCCCTTTGCTCCGTTGCAAGATCACTCACTTCAAACTCGTCTCGCAGCCACTGTTTCCTCAGTTTCTGACGACATGTCAAATAACAAGGCTGTTATAGACTGTAGTCAGATTCCCATACAATCAACACATACATTCAAGTCTGGATTCTTCATAAAATGAGCAAAGAGAAAAGTTCGAATTAACTTCCAAAAATAACTCCCTCGTGGAGGGCAAAATCGGATTTACGGTGTTCACTGTATTTATCCATGCGCTAAATTTGTTCCGGAGAAAAATCGAAACAATTTCAAATCTAACTTTCAGCTCAGAGTTCATATCATACGCAATTGTATTTATACTGAATTGTGTAATAATATTGAAGTGTTTGTTTACTTTGTTTGCCAATCAGCACGCGACAAACACGCTGTTCAAACGATTGAACGAAATTTTGTTGACTGTCGATAAGGCGGGCATTTTGAATTTTGAATATAAATTATAAGTTAAAAAAGAACATAAGAGGCAGAGAAAACGTAAATATAAGTATTGAACTGTTTTGTATGGTATTTATAATCTATTTGAATGATACAGTGCGCATTATGATTTGTTTGCTTGCAAAGCTGTGTCATTCAAATAGATCATAAATACATGCAAAAATCCATTTCATATGAAATCTATGAAACGAGGATGTTAAATT